GAAAGATTTTAAATTATTTATCAACTAGGTGGCCAGAGAAGGAGAAAATATCGCTAAAAATAAATAATACCGCCCTTTTTAAATGTTATTTGATTATCAATAAATATATAAGGAATCGGGAGCAAAAACCACCTCTCACCGTTGTTTTCGTTGGTACGTTCCATCATATGATATCGCTGATATCATATGGAACAAGTAAAGTTGCTTGTTGATTCTCTACTGTGTTTCGTATACTTCCACTTATACGAGAACCATTCTTATTCGAAGCCATTTCAATGCTATTTAAAGGTATGTTGAACCGTGAACGTGCAGTAGGTCAGAATAGTATTTTTTCTGCTCGTACGACAACCATTCTTATGAGAAGCCATTTCAATGTCATCGCATAACTACCGTGTGCAGGAATGTTCTTTTTATTTTATTTTATTTTTTAAAGTAACATTGCACAGGCTGGGAAAAGACTCGAAGTCCACGCGAGCTCAGCCTGAGTCAAGGTATATGTACACATAACTATATTTAGACATAGCACATTAAAATATAAAATGAAAGTAAAGCTAAAACAATAAATATATACTAGAGGCGTCAGCGACAGCAAAGAGCAGAGATATTAGTGGATCGGCATTTGGAACAAACGGTTTTATAAGATCTGATACGATCATGTTGTGAGTTAACTGTGTTAGAAAAGGCAGCTAAAAGCCGAATATCTCGCTAGAATACCACTCTATATCTGACGTTTCCTTTAGAACAGTAGTTAACTTGACAAGATACAAGGGGTTTAGTTACAAGTTATATAAACGGAAAAGATCATTCATTAGTAGGCGTGTTCTTTTAGAATAAACCATTCCAGTTCGACTACGGCTACACGTGTAATATTAGACTTGGGACCTTCTTACATCAAGTGAAGTCCATTCAATGTGTGAATTCTTTTCGGGAAGGCATTATTTCAACCACAGATTTATAGCCGCTAAACTGTCTAAGTACTACTTCTATTATTTGCAAACTCATGTGGCTAGACAACTGTTAATCAGAAATAAGATATTTGTCACACTTTTTTAAAATTAACTTCGAATCTAACGCCATCTTTAATTTTCCTAGAATCTTCATCTCGATCAGTCTTTAACAGAATATTTAAGGCGTATCCACGATTGATAATTTCGTGTTAAAATTATTAAAATGACTTTAACCAACATCGGCTTTACTTATATCTTTTTGTTTTGGCAGATTTTTTTTGCTGATGGTTTTTTTCTTTTCGGGTAAAAAAGGAACTAAATCTCTCAGTGGAGGCAACAAAAAAAAAAAAAAAAAAAAAAAAAAAAAAAAAAAAATAGAAATAAAAAAAAACAGTGAAAGGACTGAAATGCGGCAAACATTGCGCTGAAAATGTAAGTAGTGTCCTTTCCAAATATTATAGGCATATTATTCTTCGCTCGCTTCCAATAATTGCTAATTACACTACCCTTCTAACAAAACATTGATACCGATTTTTAACCAAGATACATGTTACAAGTGTTTTACTCTTGTTTAATCAATATTAACACGGCCGTTGTAATCCATCGTGTAGTTCCTTGGGAGGCATACTGGTCCCGTTGGTGTGCCATACAGCTCTACCTTGGGACCACTTTTTCCAGGAGTCATTAGGACCGCATTAGTGGAGCCCATTGATGGATCTTCTTCAAAGTAGTTGAAAGGTCGAATGAAGAAGCTTGCAGAGTTGGCTACAGTGGCGGTGTTGGGAAGATCCTCCGAGTGTGGAATGTGCATCATACCTATTGTTACCCAGGCAACGAGATCTTGATTGACAATGCTCTCGTTGTCACTGATGTATTTTCTAAAATCCACTTGAGGATCTTTGGGTGCATTTTGGTTGTAGGGTGATGAGCTGTACCTTTCACTATCCTTGTGCCTGACAAACGCAAAAAAAGATATTTGACAAGGAAAATTAGATCATTAAAATCAGGGCCAAGTATGTACCAGTTTACTACAAACACGTCTGATGCAACATTCGTAAATTTGAAAGATTCTAGCGCGATGTGATTTACTTGCAGTCGTTCTCAAAGTAGGTTTTGGTGGTTTTCATTCAATCGTTCAAGGCGTTTCCATGACAATTCGTTTCAACTCTACAATTCCACGCGTGCTATTCAGAACGACTGTAAAGAATGAGGAAATAATACGCAAGGAAATTTCATATACTGTAAAATTTGAGAGCACTTTTTGGGGTTTTTAGCAAAGAAACCTTGTTATTTTTATTTTCTTCCATAAGTGCAAAATAAGACTAGCTGGCAATGGTTTCGTAGTTTACAGGATTGTAAGGCATTGCAACACAAGATCAAAAACCTCCGCTATTTCTGGTCCCCAAATTAGCCATACATTTTCATGTACCATGCACAGTCATTACTGATGTTATTCAATTGAGAGGGACGGGGATTGCAAACTTACTTGGTGACAGCCATCTGGTACTGTCCCCAGCTGATCATCGGCACCAGCATCCAGTCTTCAGGGTACAACAACTTCGTCATGCCATTATTCTGTATCCTGTATCCTCGTCGTACACCCATCTTGTTCTTCTTTTCCTCGTTGTAAAAGTTCAAGTAAGTAGGCGTTTCGAAATTGAATTTGTACACTGCTTCGAGTTCGGTCTGTCTGGTCACCGGTTTCAGCACTTTGCGCACACGCGTGATATTTTCCCAAGAATTTTGAACGCTCTCGATATCAACCTGAATTGTCTCGTACGAGTTCTTTGTTCCCAGTACGTCTAGATCAACCTTGAAGCTGGCCAAGTGCTCATGCGTGGTAGCTGTGCCGTAATTGGATAGTTTGTAACCGTAAGGTTTGACGTCATCAATATAAAAGGTGCCCATAATGTACCCCGTGGATGAAACTTGAACCTGAATGACGCCATTTTGGTAGAAAGTAAAATCCCACACGTAATCGTAGTTGTAGACACTAGCGATGGTGCGAAGCACGAGAACATTGTCGGTCATTCCACCGTAAAAGGTGTATCCGCCCGCAAAGTCGCTGTCGTAGTGTCTTCTCAGCGGAATTGCTTTGAAAAGAAGAAAAATTGAATGAGCGGGCTACCTGTGTTACCAAATGGAAATATGTAAGGACAACAAACCTCTTTAGCTCGGGCGTAATGTTTTCCCATTCCAGACCACGTGTCATTCTCTTAAGAATAGATTCTTTGTTTGAATTGTATCATTCATGCGTCCTTTCATGTGCAACCATTAAACAAAGAAACGATACTCTAGGGAAGGACACGTGGTCTGAAATAGGCAAACATTACGTTTAAGCTAAAGAGGTGTATTGAGTTTCAAATGCACCCCTATATTGGCCTACCCCTAAAGAGGTGTATTGAGTTTCAAATGCACCCCTATATTGGCCTATACTCGGCCCATTGAGTTTCAAGTGCTGTTTTATGTTGGTCTGTCAGTTATCCATAATCAAACACTGCTCTGTCGTATCTTTCGGATTCCATAGACATAATTCTAGCTATAAATTAATTTCAAAATGACTTCAAAATGTAAAGTTAAGTTCATACCCGCAATTCGCACTGCAAAGAATCAAAATGAAATAATACTGCTTTAGGCAAGAAAAGGTTTTTCAACCAAGCCGAAGTTAAAGAAATCCATATTACATGGGCGCGCGGAGATACGAAAATTATCTTTGAGTGTTGAAAAGATCTCTCACCAGTGAGCGCAGGGCACGAGTGAGAGATTTTCAACACGAGAAGATAAATTTCGTATCTCCAAGCGGCCATGTAATATTCTGTTTATTATATAATCTTCCATAAAATCATTTTAACAAGCTTTTTATTATTATAAAAAGTTTTATTTATAAACTAATAGCTTAATTACACATGGTAACGATATTTTTAATGGATAATTATATGATAAAAATAGATATTTCATTGGTAATTATATAATAAATATAGGCATCTTATGAATAATTAGAGTACAAACACTAAAAGTGTGCAACACTTTGCACTATTTAGTAGTAAATAGTGCTAATTAAACAATAGGAAACAATAGGATTAGCATAATTTAGCAGCATTTAGTGGTACCGTATTTATGTTGCACACTTATAGTGTTTGTACTCTATATGATAATTACCTCTATTCTGTTCAAAGACGCAGACGCTGTTTTTCATCGTCACCGCACTAGCTGTTCCTATCATATGAGTAAGGTTGAAGAAAGTAGCGGTCTTTGGACAATCAATACCAGGGACAAGCTCATAATTATACATCCCCATCCTCCAGTTGCTGTCCAAATAATAATTATAGGACTGCGAGGGAAAGTAGCCGGTGTAGGTAGACATAGCTTCTTGTAGACTCAGTTCATAGACGATTCTTTCTCCTTTGAACTTGATATCATAGATTTCCATTCCGTTGACAGAATCCACTCGAAACTCGAATCCCCAGCCCA